TCCATCTCTTAATTGCTGGAGCTGGCCAGGCCATCACTGAACTGTTTTTTGGGGGGCTCCTCCTTCACCCGTTGGAGGACTTCATAACAAGCACACACAGTGGAGCAAACGTGGATAGTGGAGACATGAAGCATCAAGAAGTCACTCCTTCTCTGTTGCCACGTCTCCTACAGTTGCAGTTACAATTGCCATGCTTTCTGCTTGCAGCTGGAGCTGAAGCTTGCCCATGTAGCACAGCTGCCAGAAGCTCTGGGGTCCTAGCAGTGTTAAGGAGGAAACATCACAGAAATATGCTTACAGAACTGACAAATTATAGCACAAGTCATATTCTGAGTCTGCTGTAACACAACCAAGGCTGTTTCCTTTGATATAACTGTTGGGTTATCTCTGCTGAGGAGGAGGTCTCACTGGGACCAAACTTGAAGAATCTCCTTCCTGTCCCCCGTGCTGAGCAGATCTGGCACAGTACGGATTTCTCATCTCTGTGCAGGTACCCAAGCCTCACAAAGCTGCAGTGACAGCGGATGAATGGGTACTCTGTTCCAAAGTGACTGCTCCAGAATGCATCACTGTCACGTCACTTAAACACCACCAGCCATCCAGGTTTTCAGTAGCTGCTGGGACTTGCTGAAAACAGTAGGGCCTGTCATTCTGAGATTAAGGAGGGATTAGCTGTACGATTTCAGTCAGCCTTAAGAGAAAGGTTAAACACTCTGGGAGGAGGAAGTGTGTGTGCGCGCATATGCATCTTCCAAAACAACAGATGGTTTCAATAAAGTTGCTCCTGCTGCTAGGAAGTGGCACTTCTTGACATTAGCAGAGCCATATCTCATTAGGGTTCTTGTTTCTACCAGCCTGTCTCAGAGAGGCCAAATCCACAGTACAGTATGGGGTAATCAGAAAAGACACTCCAGTATCTGCCCCATTAATTGCCTCCTGCCAGTCTTCGCTCTGTTCTGATGTAATGCCCACTGTGCTCAGCGTGGAACGATCATTTGGCTTTGAAGGGCAACTTCCCCTCATGATCTGTGATTCCCCCTACTTAAACTGCAGCAAGAAGAGCCCTTTTAAAGATTTTGCAAGAAATGTGTTATTCCTTGGAACCGCTAAATAAAAACTCTCTGCTTCAATCAATGCATCGATGTATTAAATTATTGTGCAACCAAATTAATGTGCCCGTCGGTGACAGAGCTGCAGAAAATGAGCAGTGCTTTATGCATTAAAGACAAATTGGGAAAAGATTGTTTTCCAAGGTTAGATTGTTCCTCAGTGAATACCGAGATTTTTCCAATTAAAATATGAAAGTTTCTCAGAGTGCAGTTGTGTCAGGTGTATTACTTCTCACAGATCCACAGCACAAATTAACTTGTACAAATAGCTAAGCAATTGTCAACGTTCGAATTGGCATATTTTGAAGAGGGCAAGTAATATTGTTCATTTCTACTAGTACTGTATTTCAATTCTATAGTTAAACAATTTTAAACCATTTTGCTGGGAGTTGGCTTTTATTTTTTGTAATTTTTAATTGGAGGTCCATGAATAAAAAAAAAGGAATGTTCAAAATGCTGCTGTGAAAGCCTTGCCAAGCTTTTGCCAATCCCGGCTCCCCTCGTTTGGGGTACGCTGTGCATTTGGAAGGTCCTTACTCTCGTGATGGCTCCCACCATTCAGTGAAAAGCACCACACTGGGGAGGGCCAAAAACAAAGGCAAGAAGGGTTCTGCACTGTCTTCCTACAAACTGAGATTCAACAAGGTCTACAAAATGGAAATACTAATATGAATAAAAGCAGGTTTTTTAAAAAAAGCTGTCTGAATTCACGTTTTTCTTTAAATTTTGGGCTGGTTGCATTTATTGTCTTTTTTTGTTTTGGTCTTCAGGGGAAAAAAAAATGAAAAATCTTATCTGATGTTTTGTATCAGTAACTAGATCCTCCAAACCTGCTTTCTGCACCTCCTGTTGTGCAGCACTGACACATCAGATGACCCAAACCAAAATTTGCTGAAGATGGGACGTTTTCTTGGTCCCTTCATTGAAGGTAGATGAACCAAAACGTTCTAATTAATTTGTTCTGCAGATGTAATGAAGAAGGGAAACTTTTTCAATAACTTCATTGTTCAAACTTATTTTTTTTTTTCTGGTCCCTTGTAAGTTCTCAAATATCTGGAAGAAAAATAACTAAAAAAAAAAAAAAAAAAAGTGAATATTTTGTTCATTCTTTCCTGAAACTTTTTCCTTCTTCTTTTCTTGCTTGGGCTCGCGACAAAGACATTCTTTATTCCAAAGGCAAGAATCCCAGAACAAGCAGAGCCAGCTCAGAGTTCATAAGGAGGGCAATGTTTCTAATCACTTATAAAAAGCAGACTTGGATTCTGCATTTTCTCAGTCGATATTATTTAATCCTTACATTTGAATTTTCAGAATATCAAATGGGAAGCACTTTCTCCAAATACTTTCAGCTGTAATTCTTTCAAGAGGTATCTGCAGGAATGATAAATTAGGTGTGAAAGCATAAAAGAAAGTATCCTAGTATCTTAACCTTCAGGACATTTTGTGTTCATGCAACATCTTAAATTATACCAGGAGTTCTAATGGATTGCTGGACAGAAGATCTACAGTCAACCAAACAAAATACCATATAAAAAATTATTACAACGTTGATAAAGAAACTTATGTCAAAATATCTTAAAAGGCTTCACAACTCCCTACTGTCTTCTGGGTGGCCACAATCCATGAAATCAAATGATTGATCAACGACACCTAGTAAATTAGTGTCAGTGCTAAGACAAAATTCCAATGTTCTGACTTCTAGTTCCATGCTCAAATCCTGGGCTTGTATTGCTTCCCAAGCAAAATACAGAAGAGAGATAGAAATAAATGCAGCAGAAACAAAGAGAGCTGGAACTCCCTTTCTTTTGGAACCTTGTGATTTCTGAAAGCATTGATGATAGTATTTGAGTATAAACAGCAATGCAAGCGCTGCTTATAAAGCCTAGCTTTAACATCACGATTGCCACAGATTTTGGAGCAGTCCGCACTGGCAATGTGCTTCTAGTTTTGCACCCAAGAAAGCCAGTTAAATAGTATGTAGACCTGGGTGACAAAGTTTGGTCCCTGGGTTACCATGGATGTGTCACTGTGCAAAATCTTCTTAGTGCTAGGGAGTGCTAATGAAGGTTTCCTGAGAGGGGAGTGCATGACAGTGTATTTACTGTACCTGAGAAGGATTTCAGAGTAAGAGAAAGCATCGATATCAGTGCCTCTTAATGAATAGCTAAACCTGTTTGTATGGCAATTTATTTTCTTCACAGGAACCTTACAAAGATCAGCTATTTCATGAAATACTTCACTCCAATATACCATTTCAATGCAGTATTTATATTAAAAAACATTTTCCATTTTGCTTCTGCATTTTGAACTCTAATCCAGCCCAGCCTCACTGTCCACATCAAAGGAAATGAACTGCATTAGGCAATGTCATTTGCTAAAAGGTAAGAGTGGAGTCCCCTAGTTTTATATTTCTAGGGACAATTTCACAGGCCATGCCATTACTGAATGGGGAAATTGGAAAACTGCAGAATCGATTTGCAGACGTGCAGTTCTATTTTCTTTCACACCTCCTTCATCAGAGCCCCCATCATTCCTGTGTTGTATTGCATTATTACTGACAGCAGCCTGGACACCACTGATAATGGCTAAACGAGGGCAAAGCAACCCATGGCAAGTGAAAGCAAAACCACGTAAGAAACAGTCAGAAGACACTGAGCACTGCTATTTTTGCTTCTGAACTCATCTGCATCAGAGCACTGTAATATACCCGTGGCACATTGTTGCTGAGAGCTAAAAGGAAATGTTGCTTTAAAAAATCTTATCTAAATTGGTTTGGGTTTGTTTGCATTTATTTTTCCTTGAGCAAACAGCTGGACCACAAAGTTGCATTACATCTATTTAGATTTATAACAGAAAAAAAATACGCAGTCCTTCAAAACGCTTCCACTATTTTTCCACTATTCCTCTTCCACAGTAAGCTGCTGGTAATGGCTCAGTTATCAAAACTGAAACCAGCGGCCAGACATGGCCAATCACCAAAAAGAAAGAAAAAATAAAAAGCTAAAAAAAAAAAGCTGGTGACTGTCAGCTGCTTCATCTTCGGGGCAGAAAGGTGCCTTGTGATGTGAAAGGGCGCTGGCAACAAGATGGGGTCTGTCTGCCGGGGTCACCCAGCTGCGTTCTGCGCAGGGCACGGCTGGCTGTGTGCCACGGTCACCATTACAGAAAGACAGAAAAAAACATGAGTTTGTGCATTGCTCCTAAGTAAGAGGCTGGAAAGATCTGGGGCTCGTGACCACACTCCGCCCTGCCCTTGTGGCATCAGGAAGGCAGCAAATACTGTGTTTGCTTTGGCTCGGTTTTTGTTTGTTTGTTTGTTTGTTGCCTGTTTGTTGGTTTTTTTTTCTTGCCATCTTTTGCTTTTACAGCAGGGACCATGGCAGCCGATGCCCCTGCCTGCTGGGTGCCATCTTTGCTCTCCCTTGAGGGCTGGCAATTGCAGCCAGCAGCTGCAGGTCAGTGTGAAAAGGAGAGACGCAGCACAACGCCTGACAGAGCAGGGACTGGAATCATTATTATACAGAAGGGCCATTTCTGTGCAGTGTCCAAAGAGGAGCGAACTCCCTCCCGGCCGTGCTCCATCCTCACGACCCTGCCTGAGGGCCCCAAAATGGCCGCCCTTCAGTTCCCGCCTCCTCGTTGCTAGGCGACGAACAGAGCCCGGGCCGCCCCCATTCGCTTTCTGCGGACTACAAGTCCCAGCATTCCCCGCGCGGCCGAAGCCGTGCTCCTTCCGCCGCCAGCACTACATTACCCGGCAGGCCTCGGTAACACCCCGCCAATCAGCGCGCTTCTTGTTGGGTGGTGCGGGGAGCGGGGGTTGGCTTCCGCGGGAGCGAGCGAAGAGGAAGCGGCGCGGAGGAAGCGGCGCAGGTGACGTTTCCTCTCGGGCCGCCCTCCCCCTTACCCCCCCCCTCTCCCGCTGCCGGAGCTGGGGCCCCGAGAATGGCAGCGTTAGGAGGTCGGTGCGGTTGGGGAAGGTTGCCGGGGCGTAGGGTGTGGGGGTCGAGCTGGGGGGCCCCGTAAGGCCTGAGGGGTTGGGGTGCGGCGAGGGGGAATGTGGGTTTGGGGGAGTCGGGTTTAAGGGGGTCTCAGTGGGAGGGGCTGGGAGGGATGGGGGGGCTGATCTGGAGAGGAGTGTGGTGTGGAAGTGTGTAGAGTGAGCGTGGGGAGTCCTGGGGGGTGCTGGGAAAAACGGGGGTGTGAGTGGGAAGAATATTAGAAGAAAAAGGTGCTTGTTGTGATAGGGAGACGGAGGTGGTGAGTGAGAGTGGCTGCGTGAGATCTGTGAGGTGCACGGTGTTAAGGGTTAAAGAGCAAAGCGTATACGTGGATGTGAGCGTTCCTGGTTGATTCCATCAGTGCTGGAAGCTGCCTTGGTCGCATGTGCTCATTGCCTGGGTGACTGGCAGGGTCAGGGAGGGGCTATTTTGAACCTTTTCAGTGTTAGAATGTAACTGAAACTCCCCTTCAGCGGCAGCTGTATCGCTGCCTTATTGTACATTAAGGTTTGGCCAGGTAGGAAACGTTGGCAACCGTGTACCAAGTATTTCCTTGGAAGTTTATCACTAACTCTACTTCTGAAAGAGGTCTGAGTTCCCCACTTTCCCTGTGACTAGTTGGTTTTTTGAATGCTGATGGTTAGTTACTGCAATCAATCCCCCAGTTGAAGATTTTGTCCTTAAATATAGAATTTATGGCTTACTTGGGGGGGGAGGAGGGGGGAGGAAAGGTGTTTTGAGGACTTCTAACAGTAGTTTGAAGAGGCACTGACAATATTTGGCCTTAAGCCTACCAGGAAAACATGTGCCTGACCAGCAGATCCCCACTGATTTAATTGAGAGTGCTCAAAACTGTGTCTGAGTAAGAGAAACTGTAGCTCCTGTGTGTTGCCATGTGTTAAAATTTCTGTCTCCCAGTCCTTGTTGTTCACTGTCCTTTATTCCCCTTTGTGTTGCCCTACATTTCTTGAAGGTTCTCAGTTGCAGTCAGCAGCATCACCTGATTTGCAGCTTTTACCACCTAATGTTTTTCTTTTGAGTTCTCCTTTGTTGTTGTTGCGTAAAAATCTTGTTGCTATTACGAAACAGTTTTTTTGTGCTTGAGGTATTACTCAATTTTCACTTTGGGATTTACTTGGTTAAGCATATCACATGTTACTTAGGAGTGTGTTCTCTGCTTGTTTTCACAATGATATGCAAGTACTTTCACACGTGGGAAGTCTTAAGTGGTAATTGCATTTCACTGGTAAATAAAAACATGTAACTAGATATACAGATTTATGTGAATTCATCTTCTAGGTTTGTTGCTCTATATATTTACTGTAAGGCTGTTTCTTCATTCTCTTACTCTGTTAGTCATCATTTGTGGAAGTCAGTAGCTGGTTCCTGTTTCGGTGTGAAGTTAAGTACATGCATACAGACTTGTGAACTGGTGATTTAGGTTGTGGGCTAGTCCTACTCTTCTGCATTCTTTGTTCTTCCCATTTTAGAGGTCAGTAAACATTATGATGCTTCCTTCCCTCCAACACACCTCCCAAGAGATATCCAGTAGGACATTCATGTAAATACTCTGTATTTTTTCTTTAAGTTAGTAAACTAGGGAAGGAGGGGGGAAAAAAAAAAAAAGCTCAAACAAACTCAACCCACTCCCGTATATCCTTATATATTTACTCACCCTTGGGAATGTTAGACTTGCTGTTAACGGATGATGACAGTAAGGCCATATGGAGTATTAACTTGCATTGAATATTTGTTCTGCACGTGTGCTTTCTCTTTTTCTGTTTTAAATGGTTTCAATTTTGCTTTGTAGAACCAAGTAAGTTTTCACAAACGGTGAATGGGATTCCTCCTTCAAACACAGTCAGCAGTGGAATGGACCCCTTCCATGCTTGCAGTATTCTTCAACAACTTAAAACCATGTATGATGAAGGACAACTGACAGATATTGTAGTGGAAGTGGATCATGGGAAAACATTCTCCTGTCATAGAAATGTTCTTGCTGCAATCAGTCCTTATTTCAGGTACAGTGGTCTGTTGATCTAGGGATGAGTAAAAGGGGAATTATAAATGATTTTCCTTAAATGACCGAAAAAAAGCACACCTTTACTAACATTCCATGTAACTATTGATGTTACAGTGTACCTAGTAAGTATCTTTTTACAGTAACAATATAGTTAAAGTTAAGTATTCTGTCCTGCTGGAATATGCATATGAATAACATGTTGAAAGTTGAGTGTGATGACTTGAATACGTCAAGAGCTTTGCTTTTAAAATGAATGAACTTTTATATGGAATTAGTGGGATAATTAAGGAAGTAATTCCAAGTTAGCATTTTTGACCTATTAAGTCTGGGACTGATTTTAAGTTTAGGTTCCCGAGCAGAACAGTGTAACATCACTGTTAAATGCGTTTGTGCCCATAGAAGGGCAGAGGTGTTGGGATTAGCTGTATTGGGGTTAGCTGTATGGCATATAATTTCTTAGATCTGTAGTTAGAAGGTAATTGCAAATAAACTGCTGAATATTTTTCTTTTGTAGATCTATGTTCACTAGCGGCCTTACAGAGAGTACCCAGAAAGAAGTTCGTATAGTTGGTGTTGAAGCAGAGTCAATGCATTTAGTGTTGAACTATGCATATACCTCCAGAGTAATGCTGACAGAGGCCAACGTTCAAGCTTTGTTCACTGCAGCTAGTATCTTCCAGATCCCTTCCATACAAGACCAGTGTGCTAAATACATGATCAGTCACTTGGACCCACAGAACTCCATTGGGGTGTTTATCTTTGCTGATCACTATGGTCATCAGGAACTCAAAGACAGATCACAAGACTACATTCGTAAAAAGTTTCTGAGTGTCACCAAAGAGCAAGAGTTTCTTCAGTTGAGAAAAGACCAGCTCATAAGTATACTCGACAGTGATGACTTAAATGTAGACAAAGAAGAACATGTTTATGACAGCATTATAAGGTGGTTTGAGCATGAACAAAATAAGAGAGAAGTGCACCTTCCAGAAATATTTGCCAAATGCATCCGTATGCCTCTATTGGAAGAGACATTTTTAGAGAAAATCCCTCCCATGTTTGCACAGGCTATGGCCAAAAGCTGTGTACAAAAGGGACAACATAGTGCCAATGGCTATACACAACGGCTTGGAATGACTGCTTCTGAAATGATCATATGCTTTGATGCTGCCCACAAACACTCAGGAAAGAAGCAAACAGTGCCTTGTTTAGATTCGGTCACAGGGAGAGTGTTTAAACTATGCAAGCCACCAAATGACTTGAGGGAGGTTGGAATTCTTGTATCTCCTGATAATGATATTTATATTGCGGGTGGTTACAGACCAAGCAGCAGTGAGGTCTCCATTGATCACAGAGCAGAGAGTGATTTCTGGATGTACGATCACTCTGGCAATAGGTGGATTCCAAAAGCTCCTTTGTTGCGAGCCAGAATAGGCTGCAAATTGGTTCATTGCTGTGGTAAACTGTATGCAATAGGTGGTCGTGTTTATGAAGGAGATGGGCGAAACTCTCTCAAGTCTGTGGAGTGTTATGACAGCAGAGAGAACTGTTGGACGGCTGTCTGTCCAATGCCGGTAGCAATGGAGTTTCATAGTGCTGTGGAATATAAGGATAACATCTATGTTTTACAGGGTAAGGCGGTTTGACTGGCTTTATGGTGTTCTACTGGAAGTGGGGGTTGTTCAAGCCAACTGTCTCTTAAAAGCACCTTAGAAAGCCCAAGTTTCTGGGACATCTAAAGAATGCTCAGGACAGTAGAATGGGAGAAAAGCTGGGGAGGGCAGTGAGCAAGGAAGAATGAAGTTACTGCTTGAGTTTTTGGGCCCTGGGCACGTGTCACTGAGTTGTATCAAATCCTGCCACAACTGCTGTTTCTGCTAACAATTCAGTATTAAGTTGTACGGTGGAAATTCTGTATTACATCTTTATTTGGGTGAAATGCACTAATGTTGAAGAACAGCTGTTGTCATGAAAAAGTATTTTACATTTTATTTAGCTGAACCTGTGAAAATGCCTGGAGTCTCTTAGTTGTAAAAAATGAATTAGCCATGGTAGGCCTTCCTTCTGTCCCACCCTGCTTTTTGTTAGTTAGCTTTTTAGCTAATTAAGGAAGGTGCTTGATCTTTTTCTAATTAGCTTGTTTCATTTGGTTGGGAATTACAGTGTGGTCTTTCCATCTCATCTTCCAGTAAGTGATCAAGCTTGTTGCATTTTGATGCCTAACTTAATGATTTAAGCACAGTTCTAGTACCACCAGTGTTTATATCCATATTTGAGAGGTACATCAGAATAATCAGTAAGGATTAAAAAAAGCATGTCTTCAATGATTTATTGCCAAGATGCAGATGAAAGTGGTGTGACAGAAAAGATGTTTGCAGTTCTTTTAGACTGGTAATTATATTTTAGGACTCCAAAAAGGATTGTTATGGGAATGGATGAAATCATTTATTCTTCCCTTTCTTACTTTATTTATGTAGCTTACATGAAATGCATAATTTTATACGTACTTGACCCCGTTGCACTCTAAGCTTAAAAGTGCTGAGGCTGTATATGAGATTGTAGTAAGACTCCCAAGTGGAAAGAAAGATTGGACAGGGGAGTATCTTAGTTTTATTTTGCTAAGGTCCATTCCTGTGCAAACACTTTCAGAACTTGGGTCCTAGATCTGTAAACTCACTGTAATTTATCAGAAGTCAACCTGACTTCTTGACGTTGCACTCCTGCCACTCAGCAAGGTTGGAGGGCTTCCACAGGGCCTATAGAAGGTTTTGTTCTTTCATGGTATGACTTCTGATCCTGTTGTGGCTCTAAATAGTTGTTACTGTTGCTAGTTTTCTCAGTCTGTTGGGTCAGACATCCTCTTTAGATCATTGAAGAGGAACACTGAGGAGTCTTCAACCTAGAATATGTGTTTGTCCTTTAAATGTTTCTTGCAACCACTATAAAGTAGATAATTTTTAGAGAGACATTACGACTTATAGAATAAGAATGCATCTTGTTTACACATCTTAGTTTCAATAGTTCTGTGCTTCAGTGGTTTTAATGACAACTCAATGCTTGCATAAATAAACCACGTCATTGCACTAACCAGCAAATTAAATAATCCGTGTTGCAGAAAATGAATAACTTTCCTATTTGTGTGATAGGTGAAAACCTTGACTGAATTGCACTCTAATAGTCTATAATAAGTTAACTATTAATAATTTTTGTAGAGAAAACCCATAAGTTTGAAGTAGTCAGTAAGGATTAATGAGTCTTAAAATGCCAGCTCGGTTGCAGGCATCAGTCATAGGAGATTACACAATGGAACACAAGTGAGTAATCAGAAAATGCATTACCTGTAGGACTTAATGTCTTAAGCTGCATTCCATTCTTTTTATTGTATTATGTCTGTATTCTTTGTCACATTTGAAGAGCTTGGTTAGAGTGCAGCCTAGTTAAAATTCTTTAAAATATCCATGTAAAATAGGCATGAAGTTGAATTGTGCTAATATTTGGCAAATTGTAGCCCTTTGTTCCCAGAGCTTCATAAAAGACGAGGTAATCTTTATCCATGTTCTTCTTACCAAGTTTGCAGAGCATGAGCTTTCTGTCATCTGAGCTTCTGCTATCTGCAATCTGCATAAGCTGCTCTGTGCAGTCAGCAGAAGAAATGCCTTATAGTCCAGGCACAAAACTAATGATGAATCACAGCTTCATGCAAGTATTCACCTGGCATCCTTTGAAACCCAGTCAACCTGTATAACCCAGCCAAGTGATACAAACAGCTTCAGTCTGTAGTGCAAGACACATTATTTGCTCGGATTTAACAACTTTCAAGTACTGAATTCTGAGATTTTTTTCTGTAGGTTACACTTTATGAAGATAACAGAGAACAGAATAAATACTTTGGATGCTTGAAGGCTGGAATTTGGACAGGCTTTATCCCAAGTTCTTAAGCATGGTTTAAAAGTAGTAAAGAATAGGTGGGAAATATGCATTCCACCGCAGTGTTTGTGGTATACTTCAAATTCGGTTTTCTTCAGCTAGGATAGAAACCCAGAGTAGCTTTTGCTGCTGGTATTTCTGTGAGTTTTGAAGAAAGCAGACAATGTTGGATTTTTGTTCTAGGATCGGGGCTTTTAAGAGTTTGTAGACATTAATACGTGGAAGAATATAACTGTAAACTTAATAGCTGCAGAATTGCTGTTATGGAAATAAAGTGTAAGTTATGTTTTATTTTTCCTCTCTTTCCAGGGGAATTTTTTCTCTGCTATGATCCTCAGAAGGATTATTGGGGGTTTTTGACTCCAATGACTGTGCCTAGAATCCAAGGCTTGGCAACTGTGTACAATGACTCCATCTACTACATAGCTGGAACCTGTGGAAACCATCAACGTATGTTTACCGTAGAGGCCTATGACATTGAACAAAATAAGTGGACTCGAAAGAAAGACTTCCCGTGTGATCAATCCATTAATCCATACATAAAACTTGTACTCCTCAAAAACAAACTCCACCTGTTTGTCAGAGCTACTCAAGTCACTGTTGAAGAGCACGTTTTCAGAACCAGCAGGAAGAATTCTCTCTATCAGTATGATGAGGTCACTGACCAATGGCAAAAAGTATATGAGACTCCAGATAGGCTCTGGGATTTAGGCCGGCATTTTGAATGTGTAGTTGCTAAGTTGTATCCACAGTGTCTTCAGAAAGTTATTTAATTTTCTTTTTTCAGTAACAGGCCTTAGTGATTTCAGTGGTGATCCGATGCTAGAGAAAACGTCTTAAAACAAAGAAATTGTCAGTATTTATTGTAAGCTGAAACAGACAGGTTTGTTTTCTTTTTTGTGTGTGGGGATGGGTGCTCTTTAAAGGTTGCAGTCTGTGAAGGGTATTACTGGTTCAGTTTCATATTTACTGATATTTTCCTGGGAAATGAGAAGGAGGTTACGAAGTGCAATTATCAGCATTTTTTTTTCTGGTAAACACTTAATCATGTCATACTCAAAGATGTATTTGTGGTAAGAGCAAGTTAAGTGGAAGAGTCAGGATAACTATGCACTACAGTGAAAGAAATCTAGCATTAATAGCTGAGGATGTTCAAGCTGTTTTGGAGTGACTTTTCATTTTTTTCTTTTTTTTTTAAATACGGGTAAAATTTGAGGCAATATCACTAAGTTGTTTGGTTTTTTTGGCTTTTTTTTTTCATTTGAAATTAAAATTGCATAGAGGAATGATAGATCCTGATTCATAATGATCTTTTTTTTTTTTTTGTACTGTTTTTGAAGTCTGCAAAGATGTTTTGTGTTGTTGTTTGTGCACTACAGTTTGGGAGGACAAACTCAAGTCAGAATTGGAACATGGAGTACCTTTGCCTGGAAGGAGGCCTGTTCAGATTGCTGTGCCACTTCTTGTCCATGGATTTTTGTTGAAATTTGAGCTTAAAAGATATGGAAAACAAATCCCAACACCTATTTACTGCCGTTTAGGTGTAGTGCTGTAAAAAATATTTATAACACTGCTTTAAAACTTTTTTTCATCCCATAAAGGGCTTTAATCCAAAAGTTGATGGTGCTAGTACATTTTTAATACTTGTTTGTCTGAAATGGGCTAATGTTACGCTGCTGTTTAAGACAGCCTGTTAGTTTTCATTGAGTGTCTGTTTCCAGGCCCTGTTCTGTCATTATATTGTCTTTTCTAACATAACATTTTTACTGTAGTGATATTCTTGCACAGGATGGTGACAGGATATGGCCTTAATATTGACTTTTTTTTTTTTTGTGGAGTGTTCATTTTGTCTCCACTAAAGTACAGTGCTGTGTGCAGTGTTAGCATGTGCTCCAGTAACTTTAAAATGTGTGGCTTAACTTGACAAGTTATATTTTTTCTCCCTGTGATTGAGCCCTCAAATACTTTGTTTCATTCTGATCTATAATGTGAAAATTTTGCACTACTGAGCTGTCTTCGTTATTCAGCGTATTAAAGCAAAATTGATAACAAGTGTCCATGGCTTAAATAATATTAGATGCTAATCTAGAATAGGAATCCAATGTATTGCAACACTTTTCTCTATGTATTAAACATGTAGCTTACTTTTCCAGAAGTAAAATTTTTCCAAGTTCTTCTTCAATAGTGGAAACTTGACATGAAAGGGAAAAGAGGAATCCTAAAAACCTTAGCAGCTGTAACTTGCCACGTTTGGTTTGCTGCAGGTCTAGTTTTTCCAGAGCAACAGGTGTGAGCTATTTTACTCTTTCCTATTTCTCAAATCTACTGAAGGAATAAACCAACTAACTTGAAGTGGCAGTGGCCATCACTGGCTCTAAGTTCTTACTGTTATCTGGCTTAACAGCTGATATTTCAGTAAGCCAAATAGTGACCTCACTAATGTTTATCCCCCTGGCATGGCTGAGGATTTGGATAATGTTCACTTGCCGTGTGGTCTTTATGTTCCCAAATGAAATCTTTCTGATTTACAGATACCGGCCTGGATCTATTTCTCAATTCTTGCACAAAATGTTAAAAAGACAAAAACAAAACTGTGAAATGAAAAGGAAAAAAAAAAAAATGCCTCTTTGCATTACATACCTCATCTTCAGAGATTTACCAAACTGCTTCTTTCAGATGCAAGCGCCGGATTTTTTTTTTCTGAAGTAAAGCTGATGCTTGCTAAGACTGCATTTTACAACAGTGTTGAGGCGTGTTGTTTCTTTGTTTAGTTTTCTTCTGGATACTGTTTTATATATATCCATAGCCAAGAGTAAGAGCTTTCTTTTTAGTACAGCTAATTTCATTTTTAAAGTTATCCTTAGTCCTTGGCTCTCTTTGCGCTGTTGTAGGCCTCTAGCTGCAAGCTTTCTGAAGCACCCTCCCTAACAGTGTTGCATTTGTGTGTAAAACCATTCTTTTGCAAAGTGTTATATAACTTTCCTTTATTTTTTTTTTTTTTAAGCTTGGTTGAATATTTACGAGACTTCTTGCTGCTTTTTGACAATCTTCTATATTTATTTAGTAGAAAAAATTTCAATATATTACTTGAAACTATGAAATAGAATTGAGTTAGCGATTGACTGGTCATGTGATGTATAGAAGTACAATATGCTGTGGTTAATTCTGCAGTAGGTTTGTTAATTTTGTTTATCTGCACTAAAGTACGAAGATCTCCATTCTGTTTAACCATTCAAACTGAGGGTGTGATCCAAGCCTGTAATGTGTTTCAAAGCTGAACCCTGGAACTTGCTGTGGGAGTAGAATATACGGAATCTTTTGCATGAGGAGTTTGTTGAGATGGTAATATAGCTGTGAGACTTTGCCAATTCTTAAATGCTTCTCCATTTTGCTGAAAGTCAGATTCCTGGTAAAGTTTTTGCTTTAGAGTCGAGCTTAAGTAACCTTGCACAGCACAGGAAAAAATAATTGCACCAAAGGTACTGCTAAAATTTAAACAGTAACCTGTATGTTTTCTCCCCATTTAGTAACTTTTTCTGCATTCATTTGTTCCCTTTTATGAAATTAATTTCTTGTAAGGATTTACAGAGGGGTAAATCTTTTCCAAAATTACTGATTACTTTAGAAGGAAGTGTTTTGTAATTTCTGCTTGATTCTTCCAGTAAAATTTAGGATAACTAAAAGCAATTCTGGTGCACCAAACATGCAGTGTTTGTATGTTCTACAAGAAAATGATGAGCTCCCTGTTTGTAAAGCTGTTTAGAAATGGCACCCAACATTCAGTGCTCAGGTATGTTAGTAAGAAGTACTGTAGTCCTATGAGGGCAAATGTGTGGATTTTTAAACATTTTGCCATAATTGCACAATTTTGCATTTTTACTTAATGTCATGTTATGTTTCTTAAAATAAACCTATTGTTGAAATACAATTGAGGGCAACTGCTTTTGTGATAAATACACTGCATGAGTTTTGGTGATTTCTGAAAATTGACCCTCTGATATCATCTTCACGGTTATTAATTTTTTTTTTCTATTTATTGTGGCATTACAGGAGCTGAGTCACATCTCTAAGGCAGCTCCAGACCACTGCTTGGGGTGGAAGCTGCTTTGTTCCTTGTCTCATTCTTTGTGGCTAACTTCCCATTTGCTTGTACAGGTGCCAATATTTTGCCCCTTCGCTCTTTGAAGGTGGGGACCTGCTGCTGATACTTGAGATGTTAAGGAGTCTGTATATTGACAAACCCTAAAATATCACTTTATGAATTTCCCATTGCCCTTGCTGAGTAGAGAGGTTACTTCCCTGTGCACAGGCCACCATGCTGATGTTCAGGCTGTGAGCTACTCGGTGCAGCACACACCCTTCTGAAGAACGTTGCACAATGATCCTAAATCATCCTGGGTGAGTTTGAAATGATTGCTCCTGATTGCAGTTCAGAACAGTACACTTCCTTTTGTCAGACTAAAGACCAATTTCTGTTAAAAATTGAATTTTCCTCTTGAAGAACCAGCACAAAAAGTGATAGAGCCAGCGTGGAGGAGATGGGCTTGCTGTTTTACTTTGTTTTTTAAAGTGAGCTGAATAAATCAGCACTGCACGCTCAACTGCATGCACTCTTTGCTTGCTTTTCCCTCCAGGGACTTGGCCTGGACACAGACATGCCTAACTAGATTTGGCTATACTTCCACCTTTCTCTGGAGTTTGCTAATTAAATGGTGACTGAGAGTTCTGTAACTGATGGAATTCACAGTTGTAGTTACCCAATACCCAAACAGTGAAAGCATCCTACCCTCAATTTCCCTGTCTGCTGTCTTCTTTGGTTGGAGCACCTCTCTTCTTCAGGAAGACTGCAGGAACTTGCAGGAAAAGATTATCTAGTGCTAGACTGTGGTTTAGCAATGTGTTAGTGTGTAATAAACTGCTGGGACTTAAGTTAAAGAGCTGAAGCTGAGGAAGGTGGGTGGGAAAAGACCTCCCTCTGTGGTCCATGGGGGGGAAAAAAGTATATCACTGTAAAAATAATGAGACTGCAAGGAAAGGATAGCCAAACTGCACCTTGGAACAAGGTTGATTCAGGGTCTGTAGCTGGGACAACAAAGCTAAAACTGCAGAAGCTTGCTGGAATTATCCCAACTTTTTCTGGCTGGTGGAGGAAACAAAAAGGAAACAACTGAGCAGTAGTAGCAGAAGCCTTGTGGAGTGTCTCACTCTTCAGATAAATCTGAATGGTTCTTATGCTCTGTTCAGGGCTACTTCAAAAACATGTCTGTGAGCAAGTAGTAGCTGATACCTGGTTTATAAAACGTTTATGGAGATGTCTGCGAACTTCCAGCCAACTCATAACAATCATATCTGGAAGGCACTCTTGGTTTGTCATGGCTGGGGAGAGGCATGTTATTTTGGAAGTATCTGCTGGAGGAATGTTTACACCCTAATAAACCAAACAGGCGTTTCTTCAATAATCTATCAGGTTTACTCCATGGCAATCCACCCACTGGTTCTTCGTTGCCCCTGAGCCTTCAGTTCAGCCCCTCGAAGCACATTAATGTACGCTGCTCAGGGTCATATCTGGCAGTAGGACACTCGTGCAGGCAATGTACAGAGAAATACACACCCAGGCGTTGCTCTTCCTTATCTCTTGGCAACACGTACTCCTCTCTGCCTTTGCAAAGGGGATGAGTTAAGCCAAACAGAGCTTGAGTTCTGTTTTCTTAACATCTGGTTAAGGTCACATGAGCCTTGCTACTGATCTACTTGTTTCTGAACTTTACATAAATCATAATGGAAATAAGAGGAAGGTATCTATTAACTTTAGCTAACTTTAGGTCATCAGGGTGCTGTTTAACATATTATTTCAAGAGCAGGAAAGCTATCAAACTGTTTACAGTGCAGTTTTCCATAGTGGATTTTCTCAAGCACAGTTGTCAGCTTTCCGTTCTCCTGAGGTAACAATGGGACCTCAGTCCTCCTTAGCCACCTCATTTCACATATGCCCTATTCTTTAAAAGACTGCAATCCCGTACATTTAACCTGGTACCCCCTCAGAAGATGAGATTTGTGTGGTAGGAAACACTGGGAGTAATTGAAGAGTGGTACTAAACCCCATGGGCATTTTGCTATGAAATAATGCTTCAAATCCTCACTTGGAGAATGCTTGGCTGTGCTGCAGCAGGCAGTTCTGTACAGATGGCTCACTGCTGCTCCTTCTCACTTAGCCTGGCCCTACAGCAGGGAATGGCAGAGGAGGCTGCGTGCCCTGGCAGATTCGCTTACTGACTCTGAAGTGTGTAGTCTGACCTGTTAGAAGACAGTATGTGCTTATTTAGATCTTGAAGTGTCACTGAGTACCAGCAATGATAACATATCTGTAAAACATCAACGAAAATAGTACCAAATAAACCCACTTAAGGGAATGCTTTCTGTGTTCCATTGCCTTAGCCCTGCACGTGATCTGTAGCTCTGTTTCTGGCACAGAAGCTGATGAGGGGCTGTCTGAATGTGAGAAGTGTGAATGGACTGCTTAGTCTGTTTTGATTCTCTTTCAGTGCTGGAGGAGTAGTATTTGATCATCTGTAATTACCTCGATTGCAGACTAATTACTAAAACTGGGGTTTGTAATGAATGAATGTAGTTGCATAAAAATACTTGCAGGTAAGTTTTGTAGTATGCCCTTTTAGTTTGATTCTGATCATGTTCTTTCAGTTACTCTGAGAAATAGGTTCAGGGCAGGAATATTTAGTGAATGTCAATTTAGCTTTCTTCCACAACCAATAAATAAAGTGAAACACTTTATTTGCAGAGCAAATACAATTTTCCTTTGTGTTTCTGTTATTTCAACAAAAGAAATGCATATCTGCTATGTTTTGATTAAAAGGAAAAAAAAAACAAACTAATGCATGGAGAGCAAATGATAAAAGAACTACCTAATCAATCATTCAAACTTCAGTTTTTTCATAGGTATATGAAGCATGAGAGTTGCTGCTATTCTTATCTGTCTGAACTGCTAAGGCAACTGACCAAAACTCATTTTGAGAAGCGGTTTGAATACTTTGAGT